AGATTAACCTTATTTATACGCGCAATAATGTTATATATTTTAACGTTTGGTGGACATTTTAAATTAGAATAGTTTTTAAGATATTTCTAAATTACTTGTTATTGGAAATAAATTGAGAAATTATATATCAAAATATTAAACAAAAACATAAAAACTGTTTTTTAATTTGATTTTCTGTATAACAGGTTAAATTAGGTTTAAAAAAAAAAAAAACTAATTTTTTTCATCTAAGTATGTTCTAAATATTATTTTTTTTTTTGTTATAATTTAATACTATTTTAAAATTAAGTATACAGGAACACCAAAGAAGATAGATTTCATAATAGATAATAATATCTTTGCATTTCATTATTGCTCGAGTGTAAGAAATAGTTTTTTCAAATGTTTTATTATTAGGTGATGTAGATTTCAGTAACGATCTTTCAAATTTCTTTGAAGTTCTTATAAAATTAAGTTATAAACAGTATAATAAAATTGTATTTTGTATTAACAATAATAAATAAAATTAATTTTTTTACTAAATAAGTTCTACCTATTCTATAGTTCTATCTTATTGAAAATTTTGACTAACTAGCTAGGTTAAAGGTTACCGATCCTGACTCTAAATATATACATTATATTTGAGGTTGAGGGTGTTGTGTTTTTAATCTACATCACGTATCAATAAATAAGTATAAATAATCAGTATAAAATGATTTAATGTTAATGTGTATATTGTGCTGTAGGACGACCGTCTACATGACTTGGCTCAGATCACAAGAGAAATGTTAGGCGTGAACAGTGAGTGTTGGGAGGTACGTAATATGATTATATGTATATTTATTATACATATTTTCAATTTATTGCGCACACATCAATCGTTTTAAATGTTCACGTGATGAATTTTTTTGGACGTAGTCCATAAACACAAAATATGACCCAAACACAACTCAAAAGTACAAAAATAAATATCTTATAGGTGCAAAAAATATCCTTTTTAACAACTTATTTGTGAAAATTAATTTAAAAAAATTAAAGTGTATTTTATAATAATAATTGAACTTTTACGGTGATATTAGAATAAGTTAAAAATTAAAATTAAAACTTTAAATTTAGAAGTATAATGAGTACCTTAAAATTAAACTTGAAGTTTGAAGTCAATAGTTTTTAAGTACTCCAATCTGGAAATTGTTTGAAATTTTTAAAATATGATACCATAACATAATAATTCAACTAAACTCCATGACTGCTGTTTTTGAATTATAAAAATAATAATTATTTGCGAATTAAATTTAATGAGTATCAAAGTTCGAACTTAAACTTATTGTGCAACAAGCACAATATTGTACTGGGTAATAAATTTATTTTTGCGCTTTTCGGTAACACCGATTATTTTTCAATTAAATTAATGCTTATGTTTTTTGTTATCAAAATACTGTTTCATTCTCTAAATCTAAAATCATACACGTTACACTTATCAACTTCATCGACTTTCGAGCCTTTTTGGTCTACTAGAGTAGATTATAATAGTGTATTATCTATTAATAGGCGCACTAATTGTTTCAGATGAAACGATTGTCCCGACGACTGAGGCATAGCAAAGTAAAATTCGACGTCTGTGGTATGATGACTGTAGACAAGACACTTCTATCGTCGGTAAGATAAATTAGGAACAAAACAATACATGTAAATAAAAAAATATACAATTCTGCGGTTGGCTAAGTGCAATAAAAGGCCATTTTAAAATTCGTTTGTTTTCAAAATACGGTTTTTTTTCCAGGCAGTGATCAGTGTAATTTCGTATTTGGTGATTGTATTGCAGTATAACTACAGTTAAACCAAATCCTTACAGTGAATTGGTGTAATTTAAATAATAGCGTAGATCCGCGGCCACAACATGTATAATAATATAATATGATATACACAATATTACAATATAAATGCCTTCTAATTACGTTTCTGTTATGTAATTCAAGTTCATCGTTTTTGTAACATTGTTTAAACATACACTGATATACTTGATTTAAAACACCCCTGTCATGACTTGCACAGGTGCACACTAATGATTTATGGACAAACGGAGATTAGATATTAATAGGTACATTATATTATAATTTATAATGCTGTGTACGATAATAATTTTTATTGTATTAACTATTTTATTTGTATACGGTATAATATAATACAATTGGATAGTACTATACTGTAACTCAAAACTGACAAACCAAATAAAAGATTTATTTCAGAAATAGTGGTTTTTTTTTTTTTTTTTGTTGCTATTGTCAAGTAAAACATATTTGAGAATAAACCTCTTTTTTCTTTTACAAAAAAAGGCTGTCATTACACCACTTTGGTATAAAGCATAATATACTATATAATAATGCATGAATAGCACTTTAATTTTTCACCATGACACACTGTACCGTCACCAGGTGTATAAAAAACCGGTATTTGTCTACTTAATAAAAATTTACAATTGCAATACATTATATTTTACTATTTCTTTCAGAATTTAGTATTTACTATAAAATATATTAAATACTAAATTGTTTAAATTTAAATAAACAATTAACAAAATACAGGAACTTTAGAATTTGTATGAGATTGCATTATTTGTAAACTCACATGTCTGCATACACACTGCAGTCATACAAAAAATGAGCAAGAAATTCTCAATTTTTAGTGTACAACATTAATCTGAAAATATGAAAATTATTTGAAAGCATTGTTATGGTTTTACATTTAATTCAGTGTAATAGTTTATCTGGATAAATTAAATAATAATAAGTAATAATAATAATTAAATTTACACAAAACGGTTTTGATGACTTTTATTAACGGAAAAATTTAAATAGACTTACAGCTATTGCAATTACGGTAAGTTACTAGTTACTACTATTTACTTCTATGTACAATGGTAAAAAAAAAAAAAAGACAAAAGCCACTTTTAAACATAAGCCCTTTTCAAAGTGAAAATAAATAATGTAAAATTAAGTTGTATTTATTAATTATTAGGTACATATTATATAGGATAAATAATATCATAAAATGTCTCCTCCTCAATAATTATTTAGTACTTAGGTTTTTATGAATATAAAAAATATATAATTCTCTTGTATAGTTATGGAAACGCGTGAAAATTTGTCAATCTGTCATTAATGTATTTTCAATTTTGTGGAGTTCTGCACAAATATCAATTATTTTGTTTGTACTTTTTTTTTTTATCGTAGTTAAAGAAAATGGGATTACCTATACATCGTCGATAATTATATATTTACTTCAAGTAGTAGTCAAGAGACCCTCACATGGTTTTCCCATTCGATGGTATTGTGATAATATGGTATGACGATTCAATACTGGTTCATTATATTATTTTCTTATTAGTTTGTCGTACATCGTACATATTTTAATACATAATTACTGCTTAGATGAGTTAGACAATGGCGCACAATTCACATTGACACATCATGTCACATAATATTTTACAATCGTACAATGAATAGATAACGAATATAACCATGGCGAAGGACTGGGTTAAAATAGAAAGATATACAGGTAGGACAAAATAAATGCTGGTGAAGGCTATAGTGCAAATTTATAATATTAGGTTTTAGAATGACCTATAACCCACAATTAATTAGTAAATTATCAATACAGCCGTATATAATTTTTCTTTATTTACATTGCGTTATTGTGGGCTTTAAGATGTCTAAAACACGACTAAGTCTATACAAATATATTAATCATGTAGCTACAATTAGGTTTTAAGTCAGCTGTTATAAAACGAGAACATAATTACGGTTTTAACCTCGAGTTTACACGACACGTACTGCATTGCATTATTATTACAACAAAGAAATCGAACCGACTTAATTTTTATGCGATTAATTGGTCCTAATGATTAATTCAATCAAATACATAATATTTATCTTGAGTTTCATATTTTTCTACAGAACATATCATGTTTAAAATACAGTCATAATATTATATAATTCCATGTTACCGTTTATTGAGTATACTATGCACTAAGCCCCTCATAATCATGACCTACACATATTGATTTGACCATAAGATATCAATATTAATTTTATGTGAAATTAATATTGCTCATATAGTTAATCAACTAATAATTTAATTACGATAAGATCTCAAAAAGCTTGTATATTATACTTTTATAGTTTATTGACGTAATGTAAACATATTTGTGTCCCATATTATAAAGAATAACAATTCTTTTTTTTTCAGACTAATAATAATTATGGATTGCGAGAAAAATAGTTCGTTTAAAAAGTGCACTACTTTTTGTCACATAATGTAATATTCGCATAATATAAATTATTTTTAATAAATTACAACGAAAACATACGTTTTATGCAGATGCACACTACGTACATATTTTTAATTAGTTATAATAATTTCTAATAAGTAATAACTATAATTATACTGTATGTCTGTATAATATTATTATGGTATATTATGATGTAGATTTTAGAATAAGAAATAAAATATACATTCAATTTAGTTTAGTGTATTATTATTTTAATTTCATTTATACACACTCTACAGATACTTATAACATAGTATTCAATATTATTATTAACAAAACAAAATGTTTAGGTCAAGTTTCATTTAACCTATTAAAGTCCATAGATTAGATTACAATTTTGTGTACACAATAATAATATATTATAACTTGTAAACCACGATCATCAGAAAGTCGTACACATAATATATACCACTTTTTCAATGTAAAAAATATCAATGCCGTTTTTACTAACAATAATACTGTAAATGTGTTTTTTATATTAATAAAGTAATAACTATTGTTAGGTTTTTAGTCTAACAAAAACAGACAATCACAATATTATGGATAGTGTCTATTTACCCATAATATACGTATAACTCGCAATCAAATCCATACGTCATATTATAATATTACGTTCAAAATAAATAATTTATTTCAGTTTTGAATAGGAAACATGGAAGTCGATTCATATATTGTGTTTAAGAGTTTTTCTGTACCCTATTACTATTCAATATTGTTTGGATGGATGCCTATCCGTATACCAAATAACGACAGTAAAATGGTATTTCTTATTTTGATTTATTTTATCTAATTTAATTAAAATATACATAAATATTATTTAGGATTCAATAGGATTTAGTCATTACTTTAACTATTATTTATATACCCATACTTTAAGTTTGTAACAACTAACAAGATTTATTAAATACAACTATTTTATTTTATTTAGATTCACAAAAATGTGTGGAATATACCTGGCTTATTTTTGTCGTTGAGTTATATTATACTACTTATAGTTTCTGGAAGTACTACACGGGAATTAAGTAACGCAATTAAGTACCAAGGAAACAGAACTTTGAGCAATGTAGATAAATAAAATATAATAATATAGTATATTTTATAGTTTTAAAAAATTAGAAATTTTAGCAGTTATATTAATTGTTGACTTTAAAGGAGAATATAGCTAGTATAATTTACTCTTCTATGATAGCGATAGTACATAAAACAAATAATACAGTTATTGACTTCAAAAATCTTTACATCAATTTCTTTGAAATAATAATTTTTGTATAAAGTATTTTATACATTTTAAATTTTAGCTAACGATTCATGATCGTATACAAATAGTAGTCGGACCGATGTTCATAATATCACTGTGGTTGAATCAAACGATTATTATAATCATATACATATTGATGCCATTCCATTTAAAAGGTCTAAGAAAAATTTTCGAGTTTTTCAACGAATTTTTCAAATGTCATGGCTCGATTATAGGTTAGTTTAAATATGTTAATTTTAATAAAGTCTATAAACTTAAGATTTATAAAAGATCTCGTCAATTTATATCATGATGGTTATTTAATTGATTTTTAGGAGACAAAAACACTATTAACACGATTGCTCGCAACACCAACTTTGAATCCATCATGATGATCATAATGAACACAGTCCTGTCGATCGTATCGGTTACAACAAGTTTCAGTAGGATAAGACTATCGTTTGCTTGGAAACTGTTCATCATGATCGTAGGTACCTAAAGGTTTCTAACTAGTGTTTCTCAACCTTGAGATGTTTATCATAACCTAAATTTGGGTTGTGAATCTTTTTCAATGGGTTATTAAAAGAATAATAAATAAATTGTATAACTACAACTAGAACCTAGTATAGTATTACAATACTTACAATACAACTAGAATATACTTTTATTTTTTTTATTGATTATCTGACAGAAAAAAAATCTGATAGATCATATTGTATAATGTTGGAAAACTCAGGTTTACATTTATGGATGTTGATTTTCAATGTTTTTTATTAAGGACAACGTTATTCACAAACTTGAAGCACTTTCACTATGTATCCAATTTTGGTGTATGTGTTCAGTGTTATCAAAATGTTTTAAGTGTCTTAATGTTTCCTTAGACAGGCTTCGAGTCCGAAAAAATCAGGGTTAGTATTAAATCATATTGAATATTCAAAAAAATATTTTAGATTTCAATTTATGTCAATTTGGAGTGGATTTTAGTGACAATACGCCCACCGGGCTTATTTACAATGTCAGACCAGTTGACGTTGCCGACCAACATGGTAATGCACCTCCGGAAGTTGAACCGAGCGCACACTGACCTCTGTTTCATTCTCGATCGCATAAACGACGTTTATCAGGTATCGACAGTATTGCTACACAAAAACTGGATTACTAATGCAGTAATAATAATAATATTGTTATTATATAATATTATTCAATATAATACAAATTGCTGTGTATTATATAATATTTCGTTTTTATATGCGTATGTACATGCACAAGGTGCTGATCCTTTTGAGCATCATCACTTGTATACTGAACATGCTGCCCCATTTATTTGTTTTGGGTATCATCATGGCATATTCAAATTTTAGAATTACACCACAATTATCCATGGTTATATGGCCGCTACACTACATGATAAGAGTATATATTGTATGTAAAGCCGCTTCACTTGCGTCCAACGAAGTAAGCACCCATCATAATTTTTAATATATCATTTTATTTATTGAAACCTAAGTATACTAAAATACGTATACACCTAAATTATGTGGGTTTTGTAAATGGTATGTATTTGTTTTGTTTCATCTATTCGATATTGTACACATCAGGCCAGACGGACGAAAACTATTCTCAACGCTGCATTTGATAAACGTTTGACCGACGATGAAAAAAACGGAGTTGAGTATATATATAACTAATATTATTAATTGTAGTGTTTAAAAAATAAACCGGAAGAAATAAGAATTCATTTTTGCATTTTATAATAATTATCTTGCATAGTTTCACTTTAATATTTATACAACGAGATTAACCTAAAAAAAATTACGTCTTATTACAAAGTAATTTAAGTAAAACAATCAATATGCATATAATTCACATTAAACTACTTTCTTGATGAAAATTATATGAAACGCTTTAAAGCAATATAAAAGAAAACTATTTCATAAATGTTACAACTATTATTAACTATTAAATTTATCTATCCACAACCCACCATAATAACAATAATTTATTTTAATACTATTGAGATAAACTGTAGGCGTTAACAACATAAATTATTTTACTGCAAAATGAAATGTATAAAAGACAAAAAATCTTAGATAAAACATAGATAGTTTGTATCTCATGGCGCATTTGACAAAGAATAAAATAAATGTTTTATGATTAGCCGCAAAAGTGTTTGATATTGTTACAAATTTATCCCGCAGGTCTTGCATAAAAATATATTTTGATTGCTCGGTTTAACTTCTGTTAAAGTTCTTTGTTCTATTTATAGTATTTAATTATTACTAGGTATGCAATATTTCTAAATTATAAGGTAATAACAATAACTACGAGTATAGTGAATTTAAATTGATACTTTTACTTTAAAATTAATAGCTAATAATAAATTACATAAATATTTACACGAGCTACATAATATGTACAATACTAATATATAATCGTAATAGTACTCACTATAATACAAAGGCTACAGTTTTATAAAAATTTATTCGCTATCCAGTAATTTTACTCTTACATAATACACATGAATATAAGATAATTATTTTAATTTTAATTTAATATTTATAATTGGTTGTTTAATCAAAAAAAATTCTGACATAAAACCGATTTCAGTTTTTTTTCGTCATTATTTACTATAAAATTATTTAAAGTTTTCTTTACAATGATTTGATATTGATTTTTTTGCTTTTCATACACGTCAAATGACAGATTAATAAATATTATTTATTCCAACATACAAGATATTAAATATCGAATGAATAAACCATGGTTTGTACATCTTAATAACATTTTAAGTTTAGATAGATGGTGGATCCTAGTATACTTAAGTGGATCAGTAGTGTGACCTCTTAGGAGCACAACACTAAATTGTTTTAAGAGAACGCATCGTGGTCCGATGAAAATTTTTCCTTTTTTTTTTGCGCATCGTCATGCGACACATTGCTATGGCAGAATGGGCATGTTTTCTCGATGGACAGAATATAGTTATTAATAGTCGGTATTACATAAACAATAAGATATGATCGAAACACTGACGGTAAGATTCTTATTTGGTAGGCACGTGACAGAGTGTACTGTTTATTAATAATAATTCAGTGATAACTGCAAATAACGTGTTGCGCAGACTTGAATTAAATCTGGACCTTTACGATCATACCATGTTGCTTACATAATAATAATTATATAGGTACTATGCTATTATAATGTAGCACGCTGCGTCATTATGATCTACATAATTTACTTTAAATCAATCCAATATTATTATAATACGCATGAACGTTAACGTATATACGTCACTAATTATTTTTATAATTAGCATTTAATATTCTTGAAATATGATTTCGGAAAATGTGGTATTGAGAGGACAAATCATTAAAGATTTTATTTTATTTTTTTATTAAATTCAAAAAAAGAATTACAATTTTAATTTAGAATTAATTTTTGTGATATTATTTCATATCGATTACTATTATTTAGATCCATAAGGTATTTATGAGTCTATGTAAACCTTATAGATTAGTCACTTCACAAAGTAAAAACCCGTTAATAGAGAGATATAATATATCTAATAATATTATTACGACAACCTTTTTAATAGATAGATAGGTAGGTGTAAACATTGGATATACATGCATAACGTTATCGCAGTTATCAGTATAATTAACTAATAACTAAAAATGCATTCGTGGACTACTACCTTTAAAACCTAAAAATGCATAATATCCATAGTTGATTATTAACTGTTGTTGTAAGCAGTACCTAATTATTATTCTTTCGAACGATTTTACGTCTAGACCTAACACATACATTTATAAAAAAAATCAGACAAACAACCTGACTTGTTTATAACCAATAAATATCGTTCTTTAAATTAAAAAACTTTTAAACCAAGTTCACAATATTATATTTCATATTCTACAGGTATATTAAGATTTAAAATAGAGTAATATTACTACCCAGATTAAGGTTATAATGCGCATTTTTAATATTAGCGCAAATCCGAATCAATCCAAATTCTAATCTTATTAATCTTAATTTGTTTTTGGATATAAAATACATGTTTAAACTACCTATGAAAAAAATAAATATTTTTTGGACAGAAAATTTTTTGGGATAACAAGTATTTACTACTAAAATAAACACTTTGTAAACGAATTTTAAATATACAATATTATAATAAAATTAATAATAATATTATAGTTTCTTAACAGCTAATAGTAGTGATATTCATTTTGTAATATTTTATCATCAAAAACTTTTATATAATATGATTACTAACTTTCTATTATTATAATTTTGTTTTTATTTCATCGCAATACATAACAAAAAAGGAGACATTCAAATGTTTCCAACAATAAATAGTAACAAACGATCGTTTTATTAAGATTTAAAACTAATTATGAGTAAAACAGAAAATAGAATGCTTCTAATGGACTCGGAATTAGTTTTAAATCTTAATAAAATTATTGTTTGATATTATTATTGGCAGACGATCTTCTAATTTAATAATTTACAAACTTAATTTTTCTTTCCGTAATATTAACTACATATTTCCGGTTTTAAGCACGCCTTTGTGTTCTTATTTATTCAATAGTTAAATATGTATACTGTATATATAATGATAATATAAATTGATAAATATTAATTCCCTGTTATACTTTAGATCTTATGTTAAATAAATGAACAGTATGAAATCAGAAATATATGATGATGACACAAGAAAAATATCAATACTTATTATTTTTATATGTTTTTAAAATTGTATATTGTATTGATGATAATAAAAATTAAATGCACTTATAACCCGAGCATAAAAAAAAAAGAACTTTTATTATGATGTTGAAGACGTTGTTATTTCAACCATATTATAATTAATATTATTGTTCTTTACGGTCTAATTTTAAACACTGGGTTTTTTATTTCAGATAAAACGTTTCTTAGAAAGAATCGATAATAAGAAAATAAGATTTTCTTTATATGGCCTGAGTTACTTGGACGACGAATATTTTTTATCAGTGAGTCTTTCTTTATACATGCAAAAAAAAAAAACGTTATCGTTTTCCACAAACATAACACAATAATATTAATAATTATCAATATTACTCGGATGAGTAAGGTTCTATTGTTTCTGGGAAGTATAAGGAAAGTAGTGACCTCTACGTCATTGGCTTATGTGATTAAATAAAAAGGTTCTATTTATTAAGGGGTTTCGATGCCAACCAATTTTAAAAAATTCAATATTCTTACAATTTTCTTAGTACGTAACGTGTAAACGGGTATGTAGTAAATGATCATTAGTATATGTGCATGTGACTGCGTGTAAAGAAATAATAAAGCGCTCCCGCACGTGCACGCACATGACAATAACACATTAAACAAATATTAATTACATTTTTTTGCTTATTCGTATTTAATTTTTAAATTAAGAACCTTATAAGAGTTCAATTTCAAAAACGTAAAAGAATAATTTTCAAGTAAATAAACGTTCATTACGAGTTCAAATGTTTTTCAGAAGTCTTATTCGATTATTAAGATAGTCACTAGTCAGTGTGGATGTCATATAAAATAGATCTATTTTTGTTGATAACACAGCTGGATACTCTAAATAAAAAATAAAAATGTTAATTTTATTACACATTTGATTCTAATTTTAATATTTTTACGAATTAATATATTTAAAATGATAGTTAAATATATTTAGAAATTTTAATTTTAAATAAGAAAATATAATCAAAAAGGTTAATAACTAATTACAATTAATATCGTATTAGGAGTTAATATTATACCTCTATACAGCTCAAGAAATTTAATGAAAATACATAAATATGCATATAAAACCTAGCATATGATAATGCTGTGATATGTCAGTTAGTTATAAGTTATAACTCATAGTAAATTATGTCGGTGTACAGTGACATTTTTATGAAATGAGTTCTCATTTTTTTTTACAGAGTGTAATGGCAGTGGGAGGATATCTAGTGATCATAATTCAATCGTACATGACGGTTATCGAAGAACAATATCCAATTTATGACCGTCCGACTGCAGACAAATTTGATGAATGAATCAACGAGCACTATTCTATATTATACAGTTATTTCACATATTATAATTTTCTTATTATACGATTTGTTAACCATAGTTTACAGTCAATAGTCAGAGCGACATTATATTGTTCAATATTGCTACTAATCCTTGTTTGTTCGAAAAATGAAAATTAGAATTTTATAAAAGCTGCGTTAATTGGATTGAATATATCGATTTTTGAAATTATTATTTTTTTGACTTAGTAATGTATACATGGAAATGGGCTTTAATTAAATAGCTTTAATCGATAACAATAAGTTTTCGTGTCTATATGTGAATTACGAATAATAAATTATATCAAACAAAAACATAAGATGTATAAAAATAATAATATAATAATAGTATTCTTTAATGTACGCCTAGCGGTTTGCGCGTACACAATTTAACATACACGAACGCATACAGAGTCACATTGACAGCAGGCTCGCTATGATGCAGTCGTTGCATACACGCGATTTTTTAATCCCAGTAAATTGTCGAAACTCAAGACAATCCAAGGTAAGTGATATTTTACAATTACAATATTATTTTGATTGCACTGTTGTCAAGCGTTACCAATATTTGGATGATAACGGCTGTTTTGAAAAAGACTGGAGGTTATTTTTTAAAGGGTTCGTTGTAGGCAATTTTAGTAAATTTAACGTTGAAAGAACGTATGAATCAAAATAATTATGTGAGAATTCGATGGCCCAAGTATCTACTGGCATGTCTGCAGTGATATTTGACGCAGTGTATTCCTGACACATAATAATATTTTGAAATTAAATTCATTACTACTTATATTATTAGATTTCTATTTCCAGTTGAAACGCTACACGGTTAACGGATTGCTTGCATTAGTGTCGTGCGTGATGATGTACAGAGATTGGGCCACTTCCGAATCGTCGACTACGGAAATTGTGTTCCGAATCGTACCACAATATGTGCAGATATTGATAACGTTATTGGTCGGTTTCGGTACGACACGACAAATTGTAATTCACTACCACATTTCCGGTGACTGTAAGACTCATCAAAACACCTCTTCCTGTCGTCATCAAACAATCTATTTATACTCTCTAAACGAAGTTACAGGCCGCACGTTGTCCTGTTGGTTTTATTGGGCGGTGACGTCCATGTGTTTGTTCAGCAGTAACTGGTTACGTCTGTTGCATCGCGATCGTGGTGCGGTAAACCCAGAAGATATATTCAAAGTAAGATCATAAAAAAAAATATGACGACGGGGGAAGCGTTTTTTGACAATTATATTAATGATTACACTGTATTGTTGGATAAATATATTTTTATTAAATGAACCAATGAATAAATTGTAAAACTATTTTCACGCGTGCACCACTTTAATGTAAAGTTATTAAAATTAAATTTTGAAAGTGCACTGTAAGAAAAAAATACATTTTAAGCAAAAATTTTCTAAGAATTGCAAACAAAATATTTGATTTATGAAGAAATTAAGTAATGCATGAATTAATAATTGTTGTCTAAAAAAATGTGTGTAATATAAATAAATAAACGTAATTTCTTTGAATGTACTCGTATGTGTATAAGCTCGTTTGGTTTTATCGACGTATTCGAAATACTCTCTATTTTAATTTAAAATATTTGAATTCTCGTTTAAAAACATTAAGCCACTAAAGCATTTAGATTTTGGGTATATGTTATATTTAATACCATTGCACATTCTAGATCGATTTATGTGTTTATATGAAATATGAAATACGTATTAAAGACTTTATGCATGAACTACCGTCAAGTACTTACTACTTAAATAGTTATCTATTTTGCATTATATATTGCATATTTTGCATATTTGTATCAGTCACTATCAGGTATATTTGATGCATATAATAATACAAGTATATGTTGTTCATGTGTTTGAACAGATTTTCTTATGTTTCATTCCATTGCTTTCGGAAATTCATTTTAGCCGGATGTGTACCGAATTCAAAAAATGCCATCACAACCTTAATAAACTGGTGGCGGATGGATGTAATTCCACAGCGAGTATGTATTATACGTATTTATACTAAATGAACAATGTATACCTAACGAATAATAGTGTAGGACCTGGGTGTGGTTTATTTTTAAATCAGTACTTACGCATTTTGAATTCAAAACGAAACGGTTTTATCAGTATTTCAATGCGTGATAGGTATATTATACACAGATAACATTTACGTTGATAAAATGACATGATTAAATGATATTGGTAGCCATTAAAAAAATATTCTTAAATCGACTCGCAGACACTAACCAATATTTGAACTGAAGGACGTTTCTGTACAACGGTCGGATTGCATCCTGGATGAATGCAATATTTTATTTCATAGAAATCATTGTATATAATATGAAATTAAATAAAGTAATTGCCTTAACCAAGGTTAAATATACATTCTTTTTTTAATAATAGGGTATTATACAAAGGGACAAACTGTTAGGTCTTTTTAGTTTAAATCGAGTTAAATTCATACGTTATATATATATATATATATGTCCTACAAGTTGATTATGAAATTAAATAATATACCTATAGACGTAATTTTTAATAACCTATAAACAACAGAGAAAGAAAAGTAATTAGCTCTTTTCTTTTGAATGCGATTTTTGTATTATATATACTACAACCCTTCTTTTTTGAAACCGGAATCTTTCACTGTTAGCCATTCCGTATATAGTATATATACGCCTTATTTTCACACAATAATGTCACCAACTCGTATTGTTATACCTATATAGTTGACACTTGCACGCGTGACTCGTCTACTTTAGGAAATTAATTAGCACGGGGTGGAGTGTTGGACACGTCGAGTATTTACACTCTACGTAATACATGGCCATGTTATTTATTATACTAAAGATATGCTGAGTAATACATATAACCTATGCATTATATGTAGCGCCATATATCTACATAATATTCACCGTGTTTATACAGCTTTGTTGGACCACAAATCGTGATTAATCCATAACTTCCTACGCGTGTGCTTATTCGTTTGAAAAATTAGGACATACTGCTGCGGCAGCAGTTATAATAATTAATAAACTATAATAAAAATATATAAATAATAAACTCGTATTATATATAGTACGATGACGAAAACTATAATAATAATAAAATGATGGCGACGCCATTAGCTACGAGTCTTCGTACATGCATACACAGGTAAACATATTATATGTATACATAAATATATACACTCGATGGCGTATTCTTATAAGAAATTTTTTTAATCGGTCGCGGTATGTAATATTTTACAAACGCCCCGGAGCGTGGAGGAAAGACTTCGTCGCACATATCCACATACGAACTATTAATATTCAAAATAAATATAATAAAACTAGTAATACTGTAATTCATAGTAGGTATGTACATTAAGTTTTATGTACCTAAACATACCCACGGAATATTAATGCGTAATTATTTATCCGTCGCGTATACCTAAGTACCTATACATGCGTATTACATTATTATAATATAAATTACGCGAATCTTCTATATAATTATGTATAATGTGCAATGTGCATACAGGCGATTCTGACTATTCGGGGTGTGCTTAATAAATATACGTGAACACGGAATATAGGTATGACGCGGCCGTCGACTCGAGAGATTTTTTCTAAAATTTAATATAAAACACATTATATTAAAAAATTGTAACATGAACAAAAGATAACCTTACCTGTTACCTTCGCTATGTCATAACTTCTTTATTATTTGTCGACGTGAATAGACTTATTAAATTAAACTTAAAAAGATGGTTACAGTTTAATGATAGTAATTTATCGTCAATCGACAACATTTGAAAACGCTACATTATGATTAATTTATTTCTCGGTGCTGGCTTAGTTATTTGACATTATAAAGAAGTATTTCCAACGATGATAGTATTTTTATGAATATAAAATATATAATTTATAGTTAAATAAATTATTACAGTTTAAAAATAAAATAATGAATTACTCTGGTACCTCTATAATTCTATATAAAAAAATTGTTTTCAAAATAAATACCATGGTGTGGAAACTTATTTATTGTTACAATTGTTACAATAATTCGTAAATGGTTCACTACACTTACAATCTACATCGTTTGTAGTGTCATGTATATTTATTTATCGTATTTTTATTGGCTGTTATAATTATGGCATCATTCATTAACCACAATCTATCGGGAAATTTACAGAGTTAGCTAAGCTCAACTTTTGACACTAAATGAGAGACAATACGTATCTATGAACCCGACGAACTTAAATTTCTTCTCAAAAAGGGTTATAATCAAGGACTCGATTAAAAAAATATGTTTACCTTGTAGTATCCTTGTGCAGAGATGCATACATTTTTGTACCAATTTAGTATTATCATTTATCATACATAAATAATAATATAATAGTGATATAATAATCAAAAATATAATTATGTAGAAAGATATATTAATTAATGTACAATAAAATGAATAATGTTTTTGGAACTTACTTTGTCATATTAACTAAGCTAAATTACTATACATGACACAAAAAAAATGTTTGGTATGTTGTACTCAGTTATTTTAATCATTTACAAATATAATTCAATTAACGATGGTATTATTGGTATTGTTTACTATTGTATGGTTTATGTGGCTAAGTAAAATTGTATTACTTATAATGAACATGATACATTTCATTTATTAATTCTTATTTATTTAAATTTAAAATAACTATCATCGCCGCAAGGGGATATTGAGAAAGCTTATTGAAAACATTCGCGAAATGAAATATTAGTAATATTTGGTGCACCTACGCATCTATATTTCATAATTGATTGCATTATATTTTTTGCCATGTTATTGTAATTATTATTTTTTACACATTATATCTATTTTTAATTTGATATTTTGGTACGCATCTTTGCGTGAAATTAAATTAATTATAAAATGTTTGTATAAATATACTATCATCAGTTGCTAATGACTAGTATAACATTAATCAAGTTATTGAAATAGGTAAATAGGTTATAGCAGTGGTACGTAAGACCATTTGTAAACTTTAAACGTATTCAAGTATATATATATATAGGTTTGTAATTGTTGAGCTATCATAGTTTTAACATTGATGGCTATTAAAAAAATGTATATACAAAATATATATAGGTATATTAGTATCTTATTTGAAAATCTCTCAAAATTTCCAATAACAATAATTTCCCAACAGACACAATAATATCATCTAAATATTCTAAATGATAATGACTAATGAGTGATATTATATATGTAAATGCGCAAAAAATGTTCAAACCATCGTTGCAATCCAATCAAATAATCGATGTATTTATATCTGTTTCAAACATCATCATCGCTTAGAACTTTCAGCGGTCAGAATGCAGAGAAAAGCATTGGTTGACCGCGCGAGAAAAACAACCAGTTGCGGAGCGTATGGCGCGCAAATACTGTTGGAGATCGCGACAACTGCCGCGGCTGCGGTGTTTGAAGTTCACCGAGCTCTCCTATCAACGGAACATTCTGGACCAGCGGCTGACCTATTGGATGTATTACAACGATTTCTGAGGCTATTTGCATTGTGCAAGGTTTCCGGCGACGTTGCAAAGGCGGTGAGTAAAATTAGAATCAAAAAATAATAATAATAATACTATTATAATAGCGTTGAATAACAAGTACACGTTAGTTGACGATATCATAAAGACGAGTTTAAACCAAGCTGACAAAGCAATAAACATTTATGAATTTTGCAACAAATAAGAAATGACGACAAAACTGAACACAGGAACTTTCCATTTACGCCATAAAAGAAAAATGAAAAACTTTTAGAAACGAAGTAAAATGTTTGTCTTGTTTCTGTATTGTCTTTGCAGTTTGAACAAAAACAAAAATCGTGTTTTTAATACATTTTATTGAATGTCAAATTGTGACGTCAACATCTGTTTGCAATAACTAGACAAATGTTGCCGTAAACGGAAACAAAACAGAAACCTTTAGATGTTTTTTGATTTTGGGTAAACACTAAAATGTCTCTAGAAATACGAATATTGTGTTACCAGAATGGATTTTGTCGAGGAATTAAATCAACTTTGTCTCCGGTTTAATGGGAAACAAAACGTTGCTGTTTTGTCGGTTTGACGTCAATGCAGTATTGGATTTCCATTGGGTTATTTTTTTTAATTATAAAATGTTGAATCAATTATTTACACATAATTACTAACTTTACATTACTGTTTTTTATTATATTTTGTATTGTATATAGTAGATACAACAATAATTGGAGTAACCGCGTTTGGTTTAGTAGATACACAGATCGTATAGATTATTTATTATAATACGGCTTGCACCACTTAGCGCGCAATTTATTCGCGTAGGTGTAAAATGTATTATTATTATTATACCGTGTATAGCATACACTAGGACGTTACCGTATTTTTCCTACTCCGCAACCTCGTGTGCAATATGGCGTGTATACCACCTTATTCCTATACGGGAAACCCGTCAATGTTATAACTTATAAGCGAGTTGAATGAAAATAATTATTATTATTATTTTCCACAATATACGTAAAATATCATTACGCACTCTCTATTTTTAATCGGTAATTATCGCTTATCGCGCACGATCGCAAAAGCGGTTTCGCCTTTCTTTCGCAGTGTACCGTTGTCGCCACACGTGCACGTATAGGTATAACTGTGGCACAGTAGAAAACACAATGGCCACTCGTAATCGCGTTTAACCGTTTCCCATATTGTGTATCGTGAGCGTTAAATCAAAAGGCGTTGACATCGTATATATTTTTAGATTTCACGGGGTAGGGAAAAGAAAATGTATTTTTTAAGTTTTTATCACATTGAAATAATACCGTATTTTATAGAATATATTTATTGGGTATACATTTGTTTTTATTTTTCATTTTATATATAGGCGAACGAAATCGGGACGATCTTGTTGGACATAAATCCGAGCACGAACACATATCTAGAAGACGAAGTAATTATTATGCATTTTTAGCACGTTTTGTCTAGTCTGCTTAGCTAGCTTGTTCGTGTCATAACGCGTGTACTAATGAGTAAGGCAATCGAGATAATTATCAAATAGACTAATCCTTGAGTATGATCGATTTAGTTACCAATATGTCGTGACCGAATAAGAGTGACAAATGTTGCGGTCTTACAACAACCTTTAACTACCATGTTTGTACTGCAAACTATATATATATATTAAATCACAATATAATTTAATTCTTTATTCAAAATAAAACATTTATGTCATGGTAGTTATAATTCGCTATTTTGAAAATAATAATAATCCTTGAAAAATTTCAAAAATGGTCAATTCAAAATCTTATTACAAACCAAAAACTTAAACTCGAGGTTTTCAACATAATATTATAATATTTAAAACTTATAAACTATAGCGCATAAAATTTTTTATAAATACCATTTCCTATGACTAAACTTCACGAGAAAAGAACACTCAATGGTTATATTATAATGCAAACAATAAATATTATAATATTATACAGAATAAATCTAAACACCCATTTTAATATTACCTATTTGAGTCAATGGAATGTATATTTTAACCTGACAGCAATGAAAGGCATGTAAAATAACAATTACTCGCCACTTTTATTATTTATTATTATCGTATTGTATAGGTTATATACTTCGTTCCCAGAAATGAGATCTCAAATCATTCATCATGCAAAAACTCGAATCATATACTAATGTTCCAGATACCTATTTATAATAAAGCTGTTATTACTGTGCAAATATAGGTGAGCAATGTGAGTTGTTGAGTGGTGTTTAACAATGTTGAACAATTATATTTTAAAAAACCGTTAAACTTATTATTGCATACTCATGTAATATTCTGTTGATGTTTAATATAAAAAAGGATATTTTATAGATATGATAGTAGTTCTGGAAATTGTTATCTAATCCAACTAATCATCTAGCACATCTAAATAATATAACAGATTGTCTACAACACTTATTAATACGTAATAACCAAATATATATATATTATATATGTATATTAATAGTCGTTAATGTTCACAATATTCTTCATTTAGTCGGAGAAGATAAAGATGTTGGTAAGAATTTTAATCTGTTATTAAATTCTTGTATCAAGTCGTCATTAAATAATACATTTTTAATTTTTTACGTTGTTGTATATAATTATTTAATTATTGAATTATATAACAGTGTGTTATAGTCATTCATTTAGATAGCATCGGCAGTCTTGATTATATTTAATATAATATTATTTACTAAAACATTTTTAACTAGAGTAAAAAAAAATAAAAAAAAATATACTTATTATTTTCTTTTTTTAAACAATTGGGATGGTGTAAGAGAATCAGGCAAGTAGGTTCAATACGCTTCATTCAATGATAATTTAAAATGTATTTAATCGACAATATTTTTCATAGATATTCTAAATAATTGAAACAATAAAGAAATAATTTGTATAACCTACTGTGATATTTTTTACTTATTTTTTTTTTTTATTAACGGACACCAAATTTAGCAATTGAGCAAATTGAACCAATAAAAATGAAAACAATAGAAACATTTATGTGAGAAAAAATCGATTTCTTTTAAACATAATATTTAAGTATCTAACGGACGGAATAGTTGTTCACTGTTATTTCAAACTATGAGTAATTCAGTAACAACCTTAAATAGCTTAAGCATACAAATATATATCTGTAAATATGTGTACTGTGTTGACTATTATATTAATTATCGACATTTTTAAAGTGGTAAATCCTAAATTAAAAATTTTATCTTTTTATGACAACTAAACAAAATTGTTTTTATGTAAGTAGATGCGTAGATTATACTTTATTATGTTATAGTGTCATATATTGGCGATACAAGGCACATTAATAATCTCTGGACGTTGAACAAATAAAAAAAAACAAAAATGCATAACAGAAAAATTAAAATCAGTACGCGTAAACCTCGAGTAACTTTTCTTGTATAGTACGGTTGATCAACAACCTGATTGAAATATAAACGAACGCAGGATGGTATAGAAATATCATGATAAGAGACTTAAAGCTATTTTATTCTCAACATATTCATATTGAGAGTGACCAAAATGAAAGAAAATGTTATGATATAAAAATATTTAATAGTTATGTATGTATATAATTCTTATGAGAAAAAACTTATAATAATAAACCATCAATTGCTTCTATTTGCAATAATCCATAACCTATATTTATTGCTCTAGGAATTTTCCAAGTTCTGACCATGATGTCAAGTTTGTAATTATCTGTGTTTTCATTAGCCTATTAAATAAAATAATATAACAAACAATTTTTAGAATTAATTAATTTTGACTGCTGTAGGATATTTTGCAATACACATTTAATTAATCGAAATTTTTTGTTCAAATACATAATAAATGTAATATACTCAAACTAGGTGATATTCTAACTAATTATGTTAAGCAAATCTAACAAGTGAATTTAATCAGATTTGGTTACTACTTAGTTATCATTGTAATTTAATTAAATGGTATAATAGAGTTATTAAAAATTCAAAATTTAATAGAAACTGTAATATTTTTCCCAAGCATTAATATACATTTATTTATAGTTTTATATTTACATATGCAATAACGAAATATATGTGTTTGTTACTTGTCAGATCTCGTTTTTCCTGTGGGAAATTGAGAATCCTCCTGCAGAAATGCGCTTAGCGTGTGATACATTGGTGTTGGGCCCAAGGTTATTCGTATCCGTAAGTATACTATATCACTGATTGAAGTTACACGATAGGTTTAGGGTCATATCATATAACGTTGCAGTGTATATTACCATATATATATATATATTAGTTATATCAAAATTATGATGATTTGGGTTTATTAACTTCATAGAAATGTCTTGATTGATGAATGAAAAAAGAAAAAAAAAGTTTTTATAATGAAAATATAAATGGATTATTTTGTTAAAATCGATTAATTAAATTGTTATGCTATTTTTATAAAAAGTAGATGCAAATGCCTTTAAGAGATCATTATGAGATAAAAATTACAATTTAATCATTAAACTAGATTTTCAAGATTGAAGACATAAACAAGTGTCATACATCGTACTAACTATCGCAGCAACTATTTTTTAACGATTTGACGCATTTAATTGTTAGCTAATAACTTTAAGTACTTACAAAATATAATTAATGTCAATAATAAAAAAATCTCACCATGAGCTTATAAAAAATTTAACAATTTAGCTTTGTTATTCGAAAATGCAAGATTGGTGCAAGGTGGGATACATAAAGATTTATAAATAATTATAATACATTTTAAATTCCTAATTTAAAACGACCATAACTAATGTTCTCTATATACAGTCGCATGATACGCCTATTTACGAGGATCGTTCAAAAACTAAAGTTACAAACTTTTTTTTAAAAAATTGAAAAGTGATGCATATGTCACATAATAATATGTTCATGATATTCGAAGAGATTTCACACCAAGATACTTTTATAGTTGCCTTTTAAATATAATCACTGTTCAAATTGACGTGTTTTTGTAGGATTATTAATAGTATCGAAGATAGACACATTCTATTTACTTAAGACACTTTTCAATGTCTATTTAATATTTATACGTTAAAAAAAACTGCCAAAAAGTTTAATAATTGCCCCAAGTTGAAATTCCAAGCGTTAGCGTGTGGTGTCAGCCTCGTTTATGACAACGGAAACGCCCATCTTCACACCTCGCGCTTTCCCAAAGACTTCATCACCTTTCTTCTTCTCACCGCCACAATACCCCTTTACAACCAGGATCTTTGACCTAGTGATTATCTCCTTTTCACTAAATTTGTGAAGTTTTTAGGCAGAAAACATTTTTCTAAAAATTAAGAGTTATTAAAAAGTGGCTAAAAGAGGTGCAGTGTGAGTTCTTCAACCAATGATAACAAAAGCTGGCGCCTAGAAAAATGCATAGGTTTAAATGGTAGTCATTTAGAAAAATGAATATATCGTACTTGTAGTATAATCTCTATAAATTATGTAACCTTACTTTCTGTACGACACTCATATATTCCAGGTTATATACCTACACAAACCATCCACGCAGTCATATCATTATAATACAGTAACACGGTAAAACTGTCGACACCATATATAAATATATTATATAATAATAATAATTTTCATTATAGTACATAGTATTTTATAATGTTTCACAGGTGTTTTCCTGGTGCGTCGGATTCATCCTAATACTGTTGCAGTTCCGTTGGCCCAGAACGTACTAACACACATTCACTGTTTATAATATATATATTTACGCGATACAAACGGACGTACGGGCGGCGGATAATCGAGATGGTGATCGTACTTGTACATAACTTCCCGTTACCACTTGCCGACACAGAGTACCTACGTTTATATATGTATTGGAATATTCGATATTATAGGTATACTTTGCGCGCGAGAAAACGACAACAATAGTCGCTTGTGTGAGCAGTATATTTTATATTGACAATAATAATAACGGTGGTGACTTTTTTCCAACTTCTTCTTTTTATTCACTGGCAGATCAACGAACTCGTCGGAACGATAGCGTTATTTTTTCTTCCTATTTTTACGCCACATAAACTGTTGATGCACCATATACATGCGTGTTGCGTGTATACATATTACTTAATATGTATATAAATATAATATATATATATACACTTTATAACTACATCGCATAACACCCGCATTGTAATTTAATAACATATATAATAAAAATGTTATTAAAATGTCAATAAACCAATAAACGCATTCACGTATAATACCTACATAGAATTAAAGTGAAGTCGACGTTTATTCGTCATAATTATTTTAGAATATTTAATTTGGCGCGACCCCATGTATGTTATACAATATTATATTTATATATATTGGTAGAACTAGACATTTTTATCAGTTCTATGAGTTAATATGATGTGAGGTTCTCAGAGGAAACTTGGTTTGAAATACAATAGTTCTAATGTT